GCACCAGTACACCACCAGATGTATGTATGTGCCATGTTTGGTGAAAAAACATTGAACGGTTTTAGAGGTCTGCTCCGGAAAAAGGCACTTCCACCAATTTCAGTCTAAGCCAAACTTGTTGCCATGGAAACGCCAAAACAATATTTAATTCAGAATACCAAAACTATCAAAAGGCACCAGTACACCACCAGGCCTATCTATGTGCCATGTTGGGTGAAGAAATAGTGAACAATTTTAAAGTTCTGCTCCGGAAAAGAGCACTACCACCAAATTCAGCTGAAGTCAAACTCGTTGCCATGAAAACAAAACATATTGTATTCAGAATTCCAAAACTATCAAAAGGCACCAGTTCACCACCAAGCCTATCTATGTGGTGAAGAAATATTGATCGGTTTTAAAGCTCTGCTCCGGAAAAGAGCACAACCACCAAGTCAAAAGTGTTGCCAAAGACACGCAAAAAATATTTTATTTACAAATCCAAAACTATCAAAAGGCACCAGTTCACCACCAGACCTATCTATGTGAGAAGTTTGGTAAAGAAATATTGAACGGTTTTAAAGTTCTGCTCCGGAAAAGAGCACCAACTCCAATTTCAGTCAAAGTCAGACTTGTTGCCATGGAAACGCAAAAATATAATAGTCAGAAATCCAAAACTACCAAAAGGCACTATTACACCACTAGACCTATCTATGTGCCACGTTTAGTGAAGAAATATTGAACGGTTTAAAAGTTCTGCTCCGGAAAAGACAAATGTGCACGGACTCAATGTCCCCCGCAAAACGCGTTGAGGGGCATAAACAGATATCCGCAAAGTAAAATTATATATACTTTACGGATATCTCTTTGAAATATCTTATTTCTTTGGTTTGGATTTTCCATTAACAAAACAGAAATGACATCTTTGAGTATTATGTAAATATCTTTGAAATGGTATAACATGGGGGAGTTGTCTCTACTTTGGAAATAGGAATATTTTTTGTTTGTAATTGATATTTTATTACTGAACCCTGTTACGGGTAGGAACGAAGGAACCAGGAAATTCCTTGCCCTCTTTGAGAGTAAGAAAAACATGATAAAGGATTCAGAATTTTAACAAGATATAACTGTCACACAAAAATGCATACCGAAAGAACACACAGTATATACACACAATACAAAAGATCCACATGAATAGTGATAAGCTGCCAGTGTGAATACACAGGTGCATATGGAGCAAACCTAAGATAGAATATTTTCACAACTTTCATTCACACTTGACCAAGAAATATAGTGAATATACCAACCATCATAATATAACATTATAAAGGATGGACATGGCTGGAAGATTCAGTATTCTGAAATCAGGAAAGAAGATTCAGTATTCTGAAATCAGTTAAGTGGAGTCTTGAAACAGTGAGTGGCAGGACATCCACTGCGAATACAATTTATTTTGTTCACATTTATCTGTGAAGATTTGTTTTTCTATTGTATGTGTATTTTTTAATTCATATAGGAAATTCTTGAGATATAGGTTTACCTATTCTAATTTACATTTATAAATATACAACTTTGAAAGAATTAAAATCTTGTCAAAAGCCCTATCAGTTATTACATTTTCCTTTATACCAAATAAAATGAGTTCTGCACTTAAACTCACAACTATGGTCACAGTCAAAGAAGTAACTTATTCCAAAAAAACCTTCACTTCATGTCACTCCCAAAATATATGCAAAATACTTTCTTGTTCAGATATACAGAAACTGCACAGAGTATTCTCGGCCTTACCAATTTTAAATAAACATACATCGGTTGCAATTATTCTGTGCAGCAGTCTGTATTGAAACCATCGTAATTTCGTGTCTTGTGTAGCCTTGAAAGGTTTATGATAAATAAACTCGTAACATGCCAGGAATGCTTTTGTTGAATCTTTTTTGAAAAAGGTTTTGAATCCATTTCCTGGTCATTCATTAACAACACTTTGACACTCTTTGGCTTTGGTAAATATAATGAGGAAATGGGTTTCAACTTTATATAACGATATTCATTCAAACTGGTTAATAAATGGAAATATGTCATATCAGATTCCTGTTCATCGGGGTTGTAGACAAGGTGATCCTCTCTCGCCATACATTTTGATGCTATGTGCTGAAGTACTTGCCAATTGTAGTTAGAAACAATAAAGATATAACTGGAATAACAATTGACCAAATCACTTACACTCTTTCTCAATAAGCAGATGATACTGAATTTATGTTAGACGGAAGTACAAGATCATTTGAAGCCACAATTGATATGCTTAATTTATTTGCTGATATTTCAGGTTTAAAGATTAATTTTGACATGTCACAAGTTCTTTGGGTTGGTTCAAAAAGAAATAGCAATGATAGATATATGCCAAGTCTAAAATTAGTGTGGCATTCAGATATTTTCAGATTTATCGAAATTACATTTTCTACTTCTTTGGACAAGATGGTTAATTTCAATTGTAAAGGTAAGTTGTTAGAAACCCAACAGATTATTAACAGATGGGTTAATGGCATAATAACAACTTTGGAGAAAATTGCAATTATATAGTCATTACTTTATCCAAATTGATTTTTTTCCCCTCACATTGCCAAATCCTCCTAGGAATTTCTTAATGGAACTGAAATAGGAATAAATTATATAATTTAGGGAAAATATCCTAATCGGAAATGTCTTCAAGGTTATTCAATTATGTGAGTACACTTTATATAAAACGGTATCAGTCGAATGCATTAGAAGTCACTATGTCATTTCCCCGAATCCCACTGTGACTCGACTCTGAAGGGGATTGAACAACAGCAAGAGTGGGTATTGCTTCAAACATAAGACTATGTACTATTATTAAAACCTAAACTGACAGCAAGCAGTGACTTAATAATACAGAAAGTGACTGTCCGTGGTTAAGTTGAGGAAAGTAGGCACAATATAGTCAAACAGGAATGTGTATTATAACCTAAGCTGATTTCATATCCATCAACGATTTTTCCACGCATGTATGTAAATTGGTGTTGATTGTACAGCCGTACAACTATTTACGTTGGACATCATATATCTTGGTTAACAAAACCAGGAGCTTTATAGCAATACGTTCTAAAGTTTAACCGAATGTCTAAGGGCAAGACCTCACTTATTATTTGCTGTTTACTCCAAATACAGGAAGAAATCATTAGCAGGTTCAATACAAAAAGTACATCAAATTCATTATATCACATTTCTGATGAACAAAAGTTTCCCTTAAATTGCTATGTGAAAAGTACAAAATAAGAACAAAGATGAAATCTACTTCACGATAGAAATGAAGAAAACGGACCTATACTAAGAACACAGGCCATTTCAAAGAGTGAGTGGGTAAGTGAGTTTGGTTTCATGCCGTCTTTAGCAATATTCCAGCAATATCATGACAGGGAACACCAGAAATGGGATTTCAAACAGACTTACAGAAGGACACATATTTAATAACTACTGTATCCCCCACAAAGAGAAGAATAAAAACACTCCTGGCGGTTACAGCTGACATTTCCGTCAAAAGTTACCTCATTCAGTGACTTGAAACATTTTGATAAAATTATACCGTCTGTCTGTCTTTCTTTCTATATATATAACATAGCCCAAATACTACGCATGAATCTACTGACTATAATGTATCTACTTAAGAAATACAGTTCGCTCTACCACCATGTATAGTGTAATAAAGCACACTTTCGCCCTGAACTATTATATACAGTATAGTTAAAGTAAAGCTTTAACGTTATAATAGTTCAGGGCGAAAGTGTGCTTTATTACACTATACATGGTGGTAGAGCGAACTGTATTTCTTTTTTAAGATGCCAAATTTAATACTCTCTGAGGATGATTACGATTAATTTAAGGCAGAAAACAAACGACGGTGTCGGTGACCTAAATTAAGAATCCTCGCACAGGGCTTACTAGCGCGCTGGTTTATTGATGTGTCTGCCCCCCTACGTTAAGACGACGGTTTGCCGATGTGACGTTAAATAATAACTCACTCACTCACTAAGACGACGGTTAACAGAAAAAACAAATGATAACAGTTTGACGTCGCTTACATTGTGACGTAATGTAAAATGGTTCGATCACGAGGGAGCACAGTAGAATGGCGCAGTGACGGGATAACGTCATTCAATTGTTACGTCATAAAAAAACAATACCTTTAATTTATTGTCTCATAATGTATTTTTTTGCCGATTGTTCTAACCGCTAGGCATCTTAGAAACTGTGATATTGTGTACTAAGATGGCCATGTAGATATAGTCAAAACGATCTACTCTATGGCAGAGCATTAAAATATGCTAAATAGTATAAGTATAGATAAACACTATCGCTATATTTTATAAATCGTTTGTAAACTTTGTGGAAATGTGAAGACATCACGTGCAGATCCCACAAACCCTGTAGTGTTGTTAATTATCAAATCTTCACACTTCAATGATGACTAGATCTATGGAAAGTAAGAAAGCATATACAGTGTTATAAACAACATGTTCTTTGTGAAACTAAGAAGATGACAATATATTCCCTCGTCGCTTACTTTTAATCCCAGTTTATGAAACAAAATCAACAACAACAGGAACAAGGAAAAGAAGAAGAATATAAACGACACAAAACATAATCTTATCCTCAGTATATAATAGACGACGTACGGAGCTTCTACTCTGTGCTCTGAATTATACTTACAGATCTATTGAAAACATTTTCGCACAGGAACCCAGGTTTTGTCAGTTACAGAGCGCTCTTGCAGGGATTTGAATGATACCCTGAAACTAGATAAGAAACAAACGTTATTCTTTCACACAGTCGTTCGTTGGTATACTTTATGAACACAAATGCTTATATTTACCTTCTCATCTTACTAATTCATCTAAAACACGTTTCACTGTTGTGACCATTAGCATTTGATGCCAATACTAAACATAGGCACTCCACCTACCTCTCCCCTTTTCTCTGAATTAAGCATGAGCCTTTCGCATTTTTCCCATATTCCTTCTTCAGTTTAGCATCATTGATTTCTGTGTATGATTCCCAGCCTTCCTGGTTGTCCCGCCTCTGCCAAACGTACGGCCTGTTTTCAGACTCTTGCAGCCTCTGGCCATGTCCTGGCCCCACTGTAAGATATGTCCTTGATTATATCTCCTTCATATACATATATGCATATATTGACTTCTTCGTGAATACAAACTCACTCCACGTTATGATCACCAGAACGTACATATAAACATTTACTAACATACGAATTTCTTTGATAGTAATTTAGAAAATGGAAGATTATGGCTGTCCCAAACTTGATCATTAAATAAATGCTTTTATTGAAAAGTCTATTTTTATAACGATTCTTCATGAAAGGACAAGATGAACCTGTGAAACGTCGAAAAAAACTGACAACAGAAGTGTCACATAACTCGAGTAGATAATCGTTGTGAAAATTCATCCTCATCAATACACAATATCTCGAATGACACTGGCACACGTTTATGATCAAGTTCACACGTCATGTTTTTACCTGAAATACGGCTTGAACCTTCATCTGATTTTGCAGTTGTTTCAAGGATGGAGGCAACAGGGTCACTAAAAGAGACGGACTGCATCATTTCTCAATGATACACATGAAAACAAGTAAATTAATGTCTCAGTTACTGCTATTCCTTTTATCATCGCATGACAAGTTGCTACTATAAGTATAGAATCATTACATTTTACAACTTTATTGTTCAGTAAACAGTATTACCCACCGAATAGATAAGTCAAACAGTCCACCGACGCCGTATCTGTATGTGTACATTCCACCTTTCTGCCACCGAACCTTTACAACAATTATCATTGCATATACTTTAACTTGTTTATTTCGATGCATACAATCTTGATTTAAGTGCACCATACATATGTATAAATTGTCTCTCAAGAAGAATGATAATTTGTTTTGGCATCAGCAAATCAAACGGTGTACTAACATGAAATCCCGACGTTGAGAGTGTTTATTTTGAGCCTATTGATTTTTTTAATCCAATGCAAGAGCCAACACATCAGTTACAAATCTGAAAGAATTAATATTATACTCAAATCAGAGTATGACAATGTTCACTGAAGCAATTGCAGTATAATGATGCAAGGTGTGAATAATTACCGTATACTTCGTAACAGTCTGTTTATTCCTACCTTGACCTTCCCCGTCGTAATTCGAATGACGGTGCCGTAGTTTCCAGGACCACCATCCTGATTCCCATACAGAAAATGCCAGTCCGCACCTGTCAGGAACAATGCAGCATGTTGATGTTATATGCAAAACCGTTCCTTGCGTATTCACGTTTAGGTTTCCTAGTACAATAAAGAATACGTGTACATTTATCATTTATCCTTTTTATTACTGAATTTCAGGAGAGGTACTAAGTAATAACGCATACACTTCTTTGAATGGCATTTACAATCTGGTATCTTGATGGATAGACACCTTTTTATTGCAATGGATGCGGCGTTTCGGTGTAAATGCTAACACCGTTATCAAGCAAGTGATACACAACACTATGGAGAAGGAGAATATATACATAAAGGGTATGTGAGTTTATAGAATGAACGTGGTTGATGTCGAGTGTCATGACATTATAAATAGTTGTCGTGATAACTTATAGGACAGGCGTCAAAAGCTAGAAAATGTCCGAGGTTTAGATCGCATTGTTCTTCACCTCTTTCAACCTGAACACCGACAGCAATCGAGTAGTCGTCGATGTCTCGAGGCTGGTCCTCCACTGTGATGACATCGTACTTGTCCTTCTGTCCATACCTGTACACGTTCGAGTGGCCGTTGTCCCAGATCACCCACACAATGTCTGAGAACAAACGTTGTGAAGCATTATACACTGCATATTTCTTCATCGTTTAATACAACAATCAAATTCAAATACATTCTAATGATAAATATGTCATTCTTGTAACCTCCTGGGTGTAACCGACATCTATTACCAATAATGGGTAATTTTTAAAGGTAAAATTCATTTAGAAATATAAGTTGCCATTTGATCACTACCATGGCCAACGGGTCATCACGTTAATGTTCCTGTGTCATGTGGCAACTTGTACTTCTAAATTAACCTCAAAGATCGTTTGCCTCATGGTCATGGACCTGTTCTTACTGTCGAGTGCATGGTTGAATATTGTCCCTGGCGCCTCAGTGTCTTGATTACCCCACAGCCAGTCTGGGCCTCGGACAACTCTGGAGCCGAGGGGAGGCAGTTCCGGGTCCTCATGTACATTTTGGAAGTTGTAGACTGAGCCATGGTTGATCATGGAGTCGACCTTAGGAGCAAGTAGGCTGTGCAGATCCCGCTAAAATAGAAGTGCATGAATTGTAAACGTGCGTGTGTGTATGGAGGGGGATTTATGTTCACGGCAGATATGATCATTCAGCTAAATTTCCATACGTATGCTTAAAAAAACATGACACCCGTGACTATATGAATACAACCAGGCACAAGTGTCGGGCTGGATTTTATGAGCTGAATGGGCATTTGAACCAGGAGTCGGAGCAAGATCCTGTAACGAGTAGTGAGAACACTTGCCCTACAATGTCGACTCGAACCAATCAGGCCATGTTAACACAAAGCGGCAAACGTAACTTTGCTTTAGTGTTAGTATTATATAAATTTGCTACACTCGGAGATTTTACTGATTACACAGAATTTCAACGAAGTTGCACATTTACGTGCATTCTATATATTAGAGTTGTAGAATATTGTAGAATTCATGATGTATACAGACCAGGGAGACTCTATAAGGGGGAGTGGTCACTCCTCGGAAAGCTCCTAAGCTATGCCTCGGCTCGTCACGTGACCAGTGTAGCCAATATGGCGGCAGCGTAGTTTTTAAGATTGAGCCCGGTTTATTTTCAACAGCTGATTACATACGCTGAGTGTTGTGACAACTGAAAACCTACATGTAGAAGATAAGTTACCTATTCTGTCACTTCATTTCAAGTCAAATAATTGTTATTAGTGTCAGTATAAGTACAGTAGCTTTGTAGTAAAGTTTCAAGTGGGCATGTTGTAGCTCACTGGCTTCAATTCTCAGTACACAGCGAAGAAAGACTAAATTATATCGCTAAAAACTTCTTTCACATATTCGTTTAATTTTTAGAAGGGAAATATACCTTTAGTTGAAAGGTGTTTGCAAGTAATAGTGATAGTTTTATAACTAAAAAATTTGCTAGGGTGTATTTGAGGTGTATGAAAAATATGACATATCGCCGATCTGCCATTGAAATACTACAGGGCGTTGTTTGAGTGTTTCTAGTTAGTGTTCAAAACATCTTTCACATACACCTTCAATTTTTATGAGGGGAATATACCATCAGGTGAAAGGTTTTTGCAAGTAAAAGTAATAGTTTTATAATTTAAAAAAAATTGTTAGTGTGTATTTGAGGTGTGTGAAAAATATGACATATCGCCGATCTGCCATTGAAATACTACAGGGCGTTGTTTGAGTGTTTCTAGTTAGTGTTCAAAAACATCTTTCACATATACCTTTAATTTTTATGAGGGGAATATACCATCACGTGAAAGGTGTTTGCAAGTAATAGTGATAGTTTTATAATTTAAAAAAAATTGTTAGTGTGTATTTGAGGTGTGTGAAAATATGACATATCGCCGATCTGCCATTGAAATAATACAGGGCGTTGTTTGAGTGTTTCTAGTTATTGTTCTAAAACATCTTTCACATACACCTTCAATTTTTATGAGGGGAATATACCATCAGGTGAAAGGTTTTTGCAAGTAACATTGATACTTTTTTTTTTTTTTTTTTGTTAGTGTGTATTTGAGGTGTGTGAAAATATGACATATCGCCATTGGTGCTTGTGATGCTTGAGTGTTATAGTTCTAAAACTTCTTTCTTTCTTGTTGATCTTAGTATTTGACAAAACTGGAAAGGTGTTTACAACGCTTTGTGATAGTTCTAAACTTTCTGTTCTTGAGGGGTCTGTGACAGTGTCAGTTAACATTCTGTCAATGCCCATGTCATTCCACACATGCAATAAGATATCTGAATTAGTTACTATTGTAAAAACATGTCTCAAAGTAATTTTTTTTTGAAAAAAGGACAGCTGATGTTAACATTTTTGTTCTACCGATAGTTTTGCGTTCTTTAACATGTTTGGGGAGGGATGGCCGTGGTGTATCATTTATTCTTTCATTCATTCACATATGTTCTTTTTCTTTTGTTCTTTTTCTTAATTTCTTTCATTCATTCACATAAAATTCTTGCTCTTAATTCATTCATTCATTCATTCATTCATTGTAAAATTCCGACTGATACAATACACTGGCTGAAGTACTGTTAAACGCAGCCGAAGTTGCGCTGGGACCGAACCAAGTCACTGTGTGCGTTGGAGCATGACGAGGCACACGTTAATTAGTACAAATGGTAAAGAAAGCAAGCGAGTGACCTATCCCTGTTGTAGAGTATCCCTGTACAGACTAACGTAAATTATCTACAAGATAATTTATAAACCCTAATCGTAACGTCATCAATGACCTGAAGCTCCCGGTTTATCTCAGTAGCACCATATCGTGAATTTATGATATTTTTTTTTACTCGTACATTAAAAGGCAAGAGATTGAAACGTTGCTATTATTAGTCCTAAAGTGAAGACTTCCAATATTATGTCTAATATTTCTTAGACCCATTGCGCAAGAACGCTGGTAGAACAAATTCCAATGTACCTATGTGTCCCTAATATATGTAATTTACTTTCTAACTTGGGTTCATTGAATAAAATACTTGATTGTCCTAGAATAGTAAAGTAGTACCGAAACAGGATCTGCTCTATAGGTTTACATCATGTATGAGGACACAGCAGAACACCAACCCTGTCCGACTGGTCGAGACTAGGTTCCAGTTCCAGAAACACCTCATGTAATCCTGCACGGAACGTTGCCGAGGTTTGATCGTTGTCTCGTATGTAATCAATTACATGAATCGCACTTTTCTGAAATAAAAACAATTACTTAAAACAATTTTAGTTCACTAAATCTCCCCATTTCTTATAAAACTGACAGTCTTGGATGGACGTGTTGCAAACAATGTAGAAATAAAGCATATGTCATTATTTGTGCACATAATATCAATGCATTATACAATACAGCCGCTTTAAAAGCATAATGCCATGTAATGGGAAGTTCATTGTATCATGTGTTAGATACTGTTATTGCAACGTATATAGACAATTGTGTCATCATCGAGCTGTATATATTCCATAAACCTTTCATAAATACCTACGTGCAGAAATTGGTATTTTGGCAACCTCGCCAGTGATGTCGCGTCTGCCACTTTTCCATAACAGAATGACGCAAGGGCCTGGAGACAACTCTGCCAAATATATACGTTGTAATACATAATATTTTATAACTTGTTCCCCATATGCATGTTTTCGGGCGAGCATAAACACGTACACGCGTGTTTATATATATATATATATATATATATATATATATATATATATATACGGAGCATCGTTTTATTATGTACTGATTTTTTTTTTTTATTATAGGATATTTATATAGCGCACATATCCGGGCAACTAGTGCATGCTCAAGGCGCTGGTATTTTTCCCTCGATCAATTGATGTCAATCTCAACGGCACATCGTATTATCAATCTCAACTCCCTCGGGAGTATACAACTCCTGCAGCCACTAGGCGCATCGAGTTATTATGGCTTTCTCATCCTAACGAGGTACCCATTCACAGCTGGGTGGACTGGGACACATAGTCACAGTACTTTGTCCAAGTTCACTGCACGTTGCTGTACCCGCAACTAGGTGTTTGCACGTATTCATGTGGCCACCATCTGGTCATATACCAACGGATTCGTGGGTTCTTTTAAGTGCACAGGGTTGTGTACTGTACACTAGGGGTTGTGACAACACAGAAAGAGTCTGCACACAAAGTTGACTCCAAGGTTTTTACACCCGGTCACAGGTGGGCTCGATCCCGGCACCTCAACCTTGCTGGATCACCAGCCTGGCGTCTTAGCCAGCTCGCCCACCGCGCCCCCGACTATGGTCATATACCAGATATCTGCTCTAATTAATGCGGATATTTGAAGGTAAAATACCATGTTGCAAAAGGCTCCAACAGGAACAAAAACGATTTCGTCAGGAAGATAATCTTCGTGCTGTCTGCTTCTAACCTCCGCAAATGCTCTTGAGATTCGACCTCTATCCTACGACAAAAAAGAAATTGTTACAGATTTTACTGAGAAAGTTAATGCACGAACAAATAGAACAATTTTGTGAGCAATTAGTTAGTCCATTTCCTCAAACAACATGTATCGACACACCTCAACCTCTGTACAGATACCATCCGCTGAAGTCTCAGGCATCTCTCTTGTTGGTAGACCATCCGTTATGAATATAAGTCGTGGCCGAAGTTGCAGACTGTTCCTGATCTTGAAGACACCGCCTTTAGACAACACAAAATGACAAACAATAAATCACAATGTATACATGTTTCATCAGAATTGTTTGTCAGTTATTTTGACGGATAAGCATGAATTAACTTTAAGGAAATTACATGGAATACAAATACGTATAGACTGAATAAAAACTGATGGTCTAGATGCTGTTCAAGTTGACAACAAGCATATAGCTCCAGTCTAGCAGTGCCAGGTCAGCATACATGTATAGATGAGGCAGACCAATGACTACCTTTCGCCAGACACGCCAGTGAGACAAGAACGCCTTCCATGATTGGGGAGGGGCCCCCGGGTGTGATGTTTTCTTTAACAAAATATATAATACATTATTATAGTGGTCACCATTTTCAATGTTTCATAAAATATATAATACATTATTATAGTGGTCACCTTTTCAATGTTTCACAGAATATATATTATACATTATTATAGTGGTCACCATTTTCAATGTTTCACAAAATATATAATACATTATTATAGTATACATTACTGTAGTGGTCACTAATTTCACTATTGAGCAAAACACATAATACATTATTAAGAGTGGTCACTATTTAACCAAATACATAATACATTATCATAGTGGTCACTATTTAACCAAATACATAATACATTATTGTAGTGGTCACTATTTAACAAAACACATATTACATTATTATGGTGGTCACTATTGAACAAAACACATATTACATTATTATGGTGGTCACTATTGAACAAAACGCATATTACATTATTATGGTGGTCACTATTGAACAAAACGCATATTACATTATTATGGTGGTCACTATTGAACAAAACACATATTACATTATTATAGTGGTCACTATTTAACAAAACACATATTACATTATTATGGTGGTCACTATTGAACAAAACGCATATTACATTATTATGGTGGTCACTATTGAACAAAACGCATAATACATTATTATGGTTGTCACTATTTAACCAAATACATAATACATTATTATGGTGGTCACTATTTAGCAAAATATTAAATACCCAGCATCATTACAGTGGCAACTATTTGACCTGGGTGTTTCTAGGCAACGTTCACAATGAGGAAGAAGATAATTATAGAACCAGTTTGAGACGTCATTTTCATTTTTAAGAAATTATTCAAAGGGAACGGTTATGTAGAAAGGAAACGGTTAAATGTTCACTCACATTAAAATATTCCTACCTAGTGCATCTCTAAGACTCCCATAGTCGTTGGATAAGTGGTGAACTACCTTGGCCCGTCCTCCAAAGGTAACGAGGGCAATATTTTCTTCAAGATCATGTCGCTCTGCAATGTCCTCGATTCCTATGAAAATATAATAGTTATTATATATCGAACAGCATCAGACAACAATTCTCCGTTTGAAAAACGCGAAGGTATAGTAAGCCACTGGTATCAACATTACCGTTGATAAAATCAAGGGCGATTTTCTTCATTTCATTGAAAGGATCGCCCCACATGCTGCTGGATGTATCCATACATATGACTGTATCCAGGGCCAGACCATATCGTGGAACAGGACTCTCATCTACAAACACAATACTGTTCATCGTTAGTTGTTTATGCCTCGTACCTCACAAGCTAGGATAGCAATTATTGTTGTCAAATTGTTAGACATCTAAATTCCTTACCAATCCAAATACTGTCAATTCTACTAATTGCATTAAGATATGGTCAGACAAATTATTCATGTGTATTCATATATTCTTGTAAATGATACGAATGGCAATACCTTCGAGTAGTGCTTCCTGCACACTCGCCCATATTCTGCTCCAGTAGGGACTATCACCAATGATACATTCTAACATCAGACGATAGTGTTTTTCCCTTTCTTCGTCTCCGTTGATGTTCTCCTTTCTTGGGTCGCCATAGTTGCTGTTTTAATATCAAAACATTTATCACGTAGGCTCCACGTACTTGAATTAACATGTTCACAGCAACCAAATACCTGCTGTAATCTCATTTCGTGTTATAGTGAATTTGTGGTATAAAGAGAAGTCATCTACTACACAGTGTCATACTCCATATACACACGTACAAACACACCCACCCACGTGTTAAAACCTGTTCTACCTCGCCTTACCTCATGTAACTCAAGCAGGAACGCGTCATGATGATTACCGCTTCAATTCCATATTATTTACATTTTATGATTAAGTAATGAAATTAACGACATAGCCCCCAATAACAGCCACACTAACGTTAGAAGCACAATTTACCTTTCTTGAGCCGATACAATGCATTGTGTACTCTTGATCATATCAAAATTGAGATCCTCTGTTTGTATATCGGGGAAGGGATCGTACTCTGATGACGTAGTACCGTTTCCAAAAAACATTTCTCGAAGTCGAGGTGATGCTGGCGTTTCTCCTCTCTGGGACTGTGTGTAATGTGGTTTCAACTGGTTCCGCCTACCGACAACAGGCCCATACGCCGTTTGATTCCTTTCTTGAGGTGTGGGGTGGATATTGTCGTATGTATTTACGTATTGCCTGCTTCTGTAGTTACCACTAGGGTATACATTTCCGCCCTTCACCTCGTCAGTGTACTGCCTTCTTAACCCATTGGTCCTGCTTGGTACCTTACTGACAAAGCTCCCATCATTGTATTGACTTCTCTCAGTTGGTAATCGACCTTTCTGGGACGGACCTGAGTTCTGTTTGGTGTGTGGTGACGAATGTCCAGGCTGTCGATCTTCACCTTTGTTTCCAAACGAGGTACCTTTCATATCCACTGCTTTAGGGTAATTTCCGTCAACGACACTGTTGATTTCCTGCTCTGATTTGCCATGTACATTTTGTTTGGACAACTTCCTCGTCTCACCAAGCACAGACGTTTCCTTGTCATTCCCGTCCGCCATATCCTCTCTCTGTAGTTCATTTGTATTTTCCTCTTTTTCAGTAAGTATTTCTGTTTTGGTATGATAAATTGAATCCAAACTTTCAAGGTCGGGTTCAGAGAGATCGAGGATATTTGGCTGAACCTCCTTGCTCCACAGTTTTTGTTTATTATCAGTAAAACCCAAGGTCGCAGAAATGCTGCATAGTGACAACCGAATGTCTTCATATTGTTTTTCTTGACCAAAAAATTGAGATTCCATTAATTCCTTCTGGTGAGAAAGTTGCTCTTCAATACTCTTAAATCTCTTTTCTATTGTATCTGGAATCTCATGTGGTATTTCCTTGTGTCTTGTTGCTGACCTACATTCACAATACAAACAGAAACATTATCAGCATTCATAGATGTTGCTATGGTTTTAAGGCATTTATCAGAATATAAGAATGTAGATCTGAGGCTTTTCAATACTTACTGCATTCGGGGATTTTCCTCCACGCAGTACTGATAATGTAAATTTCCAAGGACAATTGGTTTTCTATCAAGTATTTCAATATTCAAAGTTTCCAAATGTTCAGAGCCTATGGAATGTTTTAGGAATTCTTTCACCAACAGAAGAACCTTGTGCTTTCTGGACACCAATGTTTTCCTGTCTGAACCCACACAGTGCTGGAACGTCAGAACAAGTGGGGCGTATTCCACGTGGATCAGCTGAACCTGGTGTGCCGTGAGCATCTTTGTGGTGAAGTCATGTAACGCTGGGTGATGCTTGAGGAGGTTGTTAACATGGTCGGGGGTTATGACTGTTGACTTGTGGTCACCATTTGCTTCCGACACCGTAATACTGGATGTCTCATTCCCACTGTCATGACCCTCCCAGTGTAGGTGAAACAGAGATGTACACTCTGAAATGTACATTAATGGAAGTTGTTTAAGCGCTGAGCTACGTCCGTATTCCTTTTGGTAAACAATAGTGACGGTCAATTTGGCTTTATTTTACCATTAAATAATCTATCCGCAATCAAATACAAGCGTAATATCGGTTGTGTACAAGATTCTTTTTCAGCTTAACTCTGAAATCGATTTTGATATATGAACTTTATATATATACAAGTGAGTGAGTGAGTTTAGCTTTACGCCGCACTCAGCAATATTCCAGCTATATGGCGGCGGTCTGTAAATAATCGAGTCTGGACCAGACAATCCAGTGATCAACAGCATGAGCATCGATCTGCGCAATTGGGAACCGATGACATGTGTCAACCAAGTCAGCGAGCCTGACCACCCGATCCCGTTAGTCGCCTCTTACGACAAGCATAGTCGCCTTTCATGGCAAGCACATGGGTTGCTGAAGACCTATTCTACCCCGGCATCTTCACGGGTCTATATACAAGTAAATAGCCATGACGAACATTTGAATTTTCAGCAGAATATAAACATTATCTTATTAATAAAACAATAAAAAACATTAAATAGTTACCATACATTGAATATGTGCTAAAGAACTGCTTTCTAAAAAAACTACATATTTATTTTTTTATTTCAATGCATGTTTCACAATACCCCGTCATAATGTGTTTTGAACAGTTAATCGTTGTTGATATTAGCTTTTCCTTTTCTCGGCACAGCTTATGCGTGTAACATATATTTACTAGTAGAATTTTACAACAAGCTCTAGAAAATAGATGCGTATTAAACAATGAACTAATAATAACCATTGACAGACGCTACAAGGAAATGTTGCTATGTTTTGCATTTAAATTTTCATAATATTAACGTCACATTATATCGAGCAATGTATGTATACATGCATTTATTTCAATATGTTCATAAAGGATGGGTAAATATTCCTCTGGTTGCAATTTAAAACACACTGTTCCTTATCACATTGGAGAAATATACGACATACCATCTCTCTACCATACGTTTTCCTTCAAATGATAAATTAGAAATTTGATGATTAAAACGTTCAATGTGCAATGTACTCTATATAAATACAAACGCATACTATGCAAGGTAGAGACATCACTGTGTACCAGCAATATCTGTAAGGCTAAACACTTGTGGGTTAGTAGTGTTGGCTCTCAATGTCCATACTTTATATAAATACAAACATATACTATGCAAGGTAGAAACATTGCGTGATGTCAGTAAATTCACCATATCTTGCGGAACATTATGAGATTTAACATAACGCATAAACGGGTGTATTCATTTCTTTCTAAGAATATCATAGGTTTCACAGACAAACAGTATGTGAAGCTGATCTTCAATAAAATATTGTTTCTTAAATTTACAAAATAAACAAACCCGTATTGTATCTACCAGTTTCTATAGCAAGACCGTAATGTTGGCATCTGAATCTAGGCATTGAAGATCTTAAGTAATAAGGAATATCCCCTGACAAATATAATTCTACGTTTAACAATGATTTAAACTGTCTATAGTAGTTACACTTGGAGGAAGTGCTTACGCTTGATCCATAACTGTTGCAAATTATCTGATAATCTTTGTCTGAATAAAGAGATGAAATATTTTATGCAACCAACCTGCTGGGAAACCCAGACAAAACCAAACCCAAATCTGTAGAGGCAAACGCCTACATTCACCCCAATACCATATTATCTGATGTAGATATACCAACTCTAAGAATCCAGTTACAGAATTTCAACTGTGCTCTTTCTACTTCTACTATAGTATATGCCCCAGAATTCTGAGCCGTAAGACACAACTGGCACGACCATTCTATCAAATATCTTTAGTAAATCCTTACATGGCATACCTCCAACCCTCTTAGAATACCCAAAATTGACATCATAGCCTTGTTTGCTTGTGAGCGAAGACATTACTTGTATACAGACAACCTTAGAGAGATATCATATTTATTATATCCTTCCTCAAACGTAAATTAGTTCTTATCACAGTCCTACACCCATGTTGAACTACACGCTCTATGAACGCTTTATGCAAGTCACCTGGGACAACTGCGTGGAGTCCTATACTATGGGGCTTCAGACCCCTCTCCACCCGTCATATATTTAGTGGTTTGGAAAATTAATGATCTTAATATGACTTTTGTGGGCTGTAGTATTATTGAAGACAGATGTACCTCATTGATTTCAGCTTATAGTTCTGTTTTAACCAATTCAAATATTGGGGAGACAAATGTGTGTAGCTTGTTTTAAATAACTTACCTGCCGTGTGCAGCCTGTCAGTAACAGCATAGTTCCTGCAGATGTCAACGATAACGCAACACTGTCTGTCACTAACAAAAGTCGTCCCTGCCCCAAAATGTCGGAAGTGGACAACCTGTCTCCCGTTTGAATCCTCCATTCTTAAACCTTTGTAACATAAGACATACTGTTGTAATATTACACTTACAAACAGCAATATCATAACAGATTAGATATCTTATACAATACGTTAGTCTGCCATACAGACACTTAAGCAAACATATCCCGGAAAGCCCACGCAAGTTTAGAAAATGTGGCAAGTCTAGATTTCCACAGCTTCCTGTTCAGTAATTTGTTACTTACCAAATTACCATGGATAAGGTAAATTTACCTCACATTATATGACGAATACACTGTTTCACATGGCCTAATGATTAAATATGTTAACTTGGTTTTCCTGTCAGTAACACAACATACCCATTATATTTGGTTGTAACATGAACTCAAGCATTTATACAGGTCTCCTTTCTCGCGCCCGTTTCGCAAAGGGGGTACTCAAAGTAAACTCTAAAATAGTAATATGGGCGTGGGTGATAGAGGATGGTTAAATGTTATTGGAAACCAGATGTCGTATGGATCTCTCTCCTGTCTGCATATCACTGAACATCAAGCATACCATGTCCTTTAAACGACAACGCTGGTAAGGCTGGTTTATGAAATACGTGTTTACATACCGACAACAAGCATTCATGATATGTGCATCCAACTCAGTTAACACGGGACGAGTACTGTGCTACCAGTTAGTGAAGACCGTTAAGCGATATGTGCAGGATAACATATAAACTAGCATTCATATTAACAACCCATGTATGTTACTTACCAAGAGATATTTCCTCATGTTCTGGAAGTAATGTCTACTTCTAATTTCGCTTCGTGGGTTTATCCTTCGTCGTCTATTTTCAGGACTGGCGTGTCTGAATTAGGTCACTCTGCGCTCGCTTTGTTGGCATTGAGCCAGCGTCCTTGTAAATATGCAGCTGTAGTTTCGAAATGGTATACCCTGATCGTGTTATGGACGAGCCTTTGCTTGAGATAGAGCATACAGGATGTAGCTCTCGATCACCAATAGTTACAATGTAACTGTTGTACAACCCCAATATGTCAAATCAAGACAATATGTGAAAACTAACGCAATATGTAACAACTTAACGCAAAACGTAATAAATAACGCAGTATGCAACAAATTAACGCACAATGTTAAATCATGTCTTTAACGCAATATGTAAACACCTAACGCAAAATATAAAAACTATTTTTAACGCAATATGTAAAAGATTAACAATATATGTGAAATCTAGTATTTTTCTTGTTTATAAGTCTTGACGACTGAAATTATTTTTTTTATAAACTCTACTTTACTGCTTTTCAAAATAACTAAGACATTGCAATATTTCTGTCAAAAATAACATCATTTCTAATTTAATTGAAATCTGATCTATAGGGTCATTAAACATCAAAGTAAAGCCGATAATTATATAATATACGTGGATAGAGATACTTGATATCATTATCTATATTCGACATTATCCATGGAATAATTTTATTCTTCATAGTAGTTGTCCTTTTTATATCCCACAACGCGCATGTAGCGCAGCGTTGAGGACATCTAATTACCCTCCGTCCGTCAGTCTCTCCGTCCAAACAATTGGTTTGCGCGATATGTCAAGAAGTGGTTTATCATTTTTTAATGATATTTGGTACGGTAACCAAAAGGTTCAACTTGGAATTCTGCAGATATCAGGTTTGTTTTAAAAAAAATTTACAAAATTCTTTTCATTGTTTTTGTTGAGAGACCAGTTTGTTCAGTTGTGTTCTGTTTAGTGGTAAATTGATAGCAAATTATTTTTCCTTTTTGGAATGAATGTATTAGTTACTTTTCTTGGTAGGCAGACAAATAGAATATTTTTAATTTTCATCTCACCTCAAAATACACAAATTAAATGCAACAAATCCTGATAAAATGTTTGAGCCATCCCATAGAGATTACGCAAGACTTCGTAATTTGTTGCAAAAACACTCTGAATGAATTTTAGAGAAAATATCCTACTTATAATGATGTATGTACATATATTATATTATTCCGAAATGTGATAATATATACTGTAAAGGTATAGATGTGTCGCTGGATACAAATAGCGTTGATTTTGGTATAATGGACATGCAAGATGCATCGCAGGGATTTAGGTATTTCCATTTTAATCATATCTGATTTCCTTCAATCAAGTCACAGCTAATATTGCTGCCAGTGAAATCGAACAATACCAGATACATTTGGGATTAGTTCCCGACGTTGAGCTCTCAAATTTAATGAAATAACGTTATTGTATTTGAAGCAATTTAAGTAATATGGAATATTGATGTAAATGGGTAGCAGGACTGACTGTTCATGGTTTCAGATAACTTAATCCATAAAAATGCCAATGCCAAGATTAATGACACCTTCAGAGAATTGCAAAATTACACAAACTACGCCTAACAAATTATAATCGCAATTCACAAATTAATTACATAGATTGCCATTCGCTATGTATTCTGTGACATCCATGTGATGAATTGACGTAGTATCCAAATCATTACAAATGGAATCAGTTATTCTACTGTTGATCTAAATGGAGGTATCTCAGTATAATTAACGTCTGGAAAAGCTGAACATTGATGAAAGGGTGTCTAACCTTATTAACTCACTCACTGACTCTCTCTCACAATTTTGCACATGACATATGGACCTGAGAGAGAGAGAGAGAGAGAGAGAGAGAGGGAGGGAGGGAGAGAGAGAGAGAGAGAGAGAGAGAGAGAGAGAGAGAGAGAGGGGAAGGAGAGAGAGAGAGAGAGAGAGAGAGAGAGAGAGAGAGAGAGAGAGAGAGAGAGAGAGAGAGAGAGAGAGAGAGAGAGAGAGAGAGAGAGAGTTAATAAGGTTAAACACCCTTTCAGCAATTTTGCAGCATTTCAAGACGTTAATTACACTGAAATATCTCCATTTAGATAAGTAGTAGAATAAGTGGTTCCATTTGCAATAATGCTTGATGCTACGTCAATTCATCTATGTGATTAAATGAGGAATTACGTTTATAATTTCTTAGGCGTAGTTTTTTGTGATTTTGCAGATATGATATTTAATATATGAAGTGATTACTACTGTTTGTAGGAAGGTAGGAAGGTAGGAACTCAGTAGCGGAGGTAATAAACATGAAAGTAGGTCGTTAGAGCTTGATGGGGCAAGATGGTGACTCATTGCTCAGGTAAGGGTAAAAGTGCTGGGCTAGCAAGAAAGAGCAACATGTCCGGGGACCTTAGTGCCAGTTCTTGGTATTCTACGAGTCATAAATGGTTAGGAGAGAGAGATTCTGGGATTCCTGAAATTCACCTCGCAGTCTTACAAATAAGGTATTGGGGGTAAAGACATAGAAGGGGGAGACTAGTCTGCAGCGAGATGGAAAGGTTACCGTCCAATAGATAAACAAGAGTATTGATGCCTGTGACGTAGGAACCCAGTTTTAAGCTGAAGCAAAAGCTCACAAAAAAGGAAGTGGTGCGCGACTCGAGACCTCAAGCGGAGTGTCTGGAGTGCTCCTAGGATCCCCAAGCCTGGGGTCTAGGGCGCATCAGCACTCATCTGATTGTCACTAACTTTCGTACTAAGAAACAAACTCAAGGCACCAGCATTTCGACTGAGACTGAAGCTTTGCGGCTAAAGTCTCCTAATTATGTAACAAATAGAGTGGGTTGGGCCAGCAACGCAGTGCTAATAAAACTGTGGAACGAAGATCATCGTCTTGTGGCTGATGGAGGAACTACGGTAAAGGTCCAAAGCCCCTCGGGTACTCACACGGTACCTCTCGCACATCCCTTATCGTCAGGACCGAAGTACGAGGGTATACCGTGGTTCCGGTAAAGGAACGCCATCCCAGGTGTGGGATAACTGACAGGTAACACATCTACCTGTCAGGTAAAGGGCGTCGTACAAAGAACCCTTTGGACACAGCTACCCATTTACATCAATGCTCCATATTACTTAATTTGCATCAAATACAATAACGATATTTCACTAAATTTGAGAGCTCAACGTCGGGAACTAATCCCAAATGTATCTGGTATTGCTCGATTTCATTGGCAGCAATATTAGCTGTGACTTGATTGAAGGAAATCAGATATGATTAAAATGGAAATACCCGAAACCCTGCGATGCATCTTGCATGTCCATTATACCTAAAACTGCAAGATGGATTAACGACACACACTGTATGAAATAAAGCCCGCCCGACCGCCGGTATAGATATCTGACGAACGGTCTAAATGTACAGCTAGCCAGCCCGATGGTCTGGTAATTTTTTTTAGATGTTCCATGTGAATTCACCATATTTGGTCTGGTTAAATCCATTTTGGGCTGGTAACATTTTGATGTTACCAGCCCTGATGTCTGGCTGGATTTGTGGCTTATTTCATACACTGCGACACATCTATACTTTCACATTAATTTTCACATTTTGGAGTAATATAATATATGTAAATAGTAAATACATCATAATAAATATGATATTTTCTCTCAAAGTGTTTCTGAAACAAATTGCAAAGTTTCTCGTAATTCCTGTGGGGTGGCTCAAACATTTTATCCGGATTTGTTGCATTTCATTTGCGTATTTTGAGGTGGATTGAGAAAACCCACTATTAGTCTGTCTACCAAGTAAATTTACTAATACATTCATTCCAAAGAGGAAAAATAATTTGCTATTTATTCACCACTTAATAGGGCAAATCTGAACAAACTGGTCTCTCAAGAAAAACTGGTGTCTCAAGAGGTAAAACCTCCTTGAATAGGACATAACGAATACAACACATATGACCATGTATGTAAAAATACTATGATGAATAAAATGATTTCCGTGGATAATTTCGAATATAGATGATGATATCAAGTATCTCTATACATGTATATTATATAATTATCGGATTTACTTTGATGTGTAATGACCGTATAGATCAGATTTCAATTACATTAGAAATGAAGTTAATTTTGACAGAAATATTGTAATATCTTAGTCATTTTGAAAAGCAATAAAGTAAAATTTCTGAAAAAATGAATTTAAGTCGCCAAGACTCATAAACAAGAAAAAAAGCTGTATTTTACATATTCTGTTACAAATTGCGTTAAAAAATGGTTTTACAATTTGCGTTATATGTTTACATATTGCGTTAAAGACATTTTTTACATTTTGCGTAAATGTTTTACGTTTTGCGTTAAAGAACCAATAAACTTTGTTTTTTGTTACTCTTGTAACCATTACTTATGAAAGATTTGTGGTTAGTCTTATGCGGAACACCAAATTTATTCTTTAAAAACTTGTACCGAGCGATTAAAAGTGGCCAAAAAGTCGCCTGCTTCCCTCTCGCCCGCCAACGAAACCACAGACAGGTTACGTAACTCTGTCGCCAGAGCACTGCAGTGACGTCATATGAGGAACGATTTTCAGTTAGTTGAATAGAAAGTGTGTTGCACGCTCATCATTTTGATGATTTCTCGACATGAACGACGACATGCCGAATCGTTGCTTTGTCGTCAATTGCTCCTAGGGGTCGGGCGATGGTGTCACCATGCACAGATTTCCACAGGACCCGCAGTTCGTGCTAAATGGGTTATGTTTGTGAGTGCGAAGCGAGCGTTGTGGAAGCCTGAAACGATATCTAACTTGTGTTCAGATCGCTTCACGGAAGTTAAAGAATCAAAACTACTTACTAGTTGTAGTAGAATATGTATATGATTGATGACCATAAAGATTTTCCATGACACAACTTGTAACATAACGATTTCTTCCTCGGAAGTGAGGTTGTGGTCAAAGTAACAATAATATTGTAAGCAGTATTATATTGACACCCACCTCGCTGCCAGGAGAGAAATTGTTATGTTATATTGGCCATCAATAAAATAAATATTTTACTACCAGTAGAA